TTTCTAAAGTTTTTTGTGAAAAAAGAGCACAAGGCAACCCAGGTTTGCAACAGAAATATATGCCCGTTCCATTATTTCTTGAGGAAAGAGTGAGGCAACAGGCTGTGAGGTATAAAAAATGTCAAAATTCCTTGGACACACACGCGAAATAATGGCAATTTTTTCTTGACCGTTTTCTTAAGAGCTGGATACTAAGCTTTAAAATAAAAAATGGCGCTTTTAGAAATAATGCGTAATTTTTTAATCGGTTGTTTCATTCACACACATGGTTTCATTTCGTTTCATTCACAAGGCGGCGGAAAAATGACGTCACTACAAAAAACAACTTTTTTCTCGCACTCCGTACTGGGTGATCTTTATTCGTTCGTTCATGTAATAATGGCCCGTAGTCATAGTCAAAATAAAGTCGACTTTAAAGTTAGTTGCAGCTTTTTTGACAGATATCCCATTGAAAATTATGTCAAAAAGCTGCAACTAACTTTAAAGTCGACTTTATTTTGACTATGACTACGGGCCAATGTTGCCAAGTTTTGTTCTCTTCAAAGCAATACGGGAAAATGTCAAAAGCCGTACCCGTACCGATACCTCCGTTTCGTCAATTCATTTCAAGTTTTCTTGTCTCTATTTATCTTTTCGTTGCTTCCCATTTAAGAACCAAGGACTTGAATTCAATTAAAGTTGACGCGTGTGGAAGCAAATAGAAAACACAAAAGAGAATGCGGAAAAAATTGTCAAGACTTGACGTGTCTGAAAGCGGACCTAGGAGAGAGAATACGCTATCAATAAAACGATAGTGGCAATAGTACTAAAACTATCGATAGTTATTTCATGTGACCAGACTATCGATAGTATCGTCGATAGTTTGACAGCTCTACCGATCAGCTGCTCGCTTCATGAAGGAAAGACACAAGATCACGTAAGAACAAGAAAGTCAAAAAAGTCGATTTTTTTAGCGGGTTCTACGCCATCTTGTTTCACTGGAAAACGAGCGAAAAGTAAACAAAGCGAAGAAAACAACGAAAACTAAAATTAGCCAAAATTATTGTCAGCCACTTTAAACGCACAATTTAGGTAAAATGATGCAACAAAATGCTTTAAAATGTGTTGTCATGTTGAATTAACTCTTCTTTACTTGAATAAAAGTGTAAACAAACGCTCAACTGACGAACCCGCTTTCGCAAAACTTTTTTCTCAAAACCAGTTACAAATACAACGTCGTGTTCTTACGTGATCTTGTATTTTTGGTTCATGTGCTCGCTTGCTAATTTGCGTCCCCTAAAGCAGTGTTTACATTGTTCAACTTTGCGTTCAACTCAACGCAGGGTAGCACGAAAAAAGTTGAATGGCTAAATGTTGGCTGGCGACCAACTTTGTTGAAAGCGATTAGTTGAAACGCCGTTCAACCAGAAGTTGAATGCAAAGTTGAACAATGCAAACATCTTTTTATGGCGAATATTTTGCTATTTTTTCATATTTTGATATTTTTAGCCATTCAACTTTTTTTTTCGTGCAACCCTGCGCTGAGTTGAACGCAAATGTTGAACGCAAAGTTGAACAATGCAAACACACCATAACTTGTTGTCTCCACAGGCAAAAGTTTTTATCTTGATAATGCTATCAGGCAAAATTTTGCCAATGGAGACCGCATATTGCTCTTGGCAAGCGTGGGGGGCATGTGTCTTGATATCTAACCTACTAGAAAGAGCACAGTTTACACTTTGTAAAAAGTCACACCTGATCCATCGAAACATTCCACATACCCCTGGGGAACCATTGGAAATTGGTCTAAACTTAGTGTTCTGACCCCGGAAATGTAAACTCGATAAACGGTATTTTTGTGCAGAAAACTTTTCTATTGTCAAAGGTATTCAACATTTCTTCTGTATATAACTCCGGATACGCCATCCACAGTATATTTGCATAGAACCAAATAACGTAGATAATAAGGTGGGACAACTCGTTATAATTGTAGCGAAAGTGATTAACAGGGGCGTACCAAAGAACATAGATAACAAGAAGGGACAACTCGTTATAACTGTAGCGAATGTGAGTAACAGGGCGTGTTTCCTCTTTTGCCCTAATACGTTTTTTAATTGGATGAAAAAAGAGAAGGTACGCCCAAAGAACATAGATAACAAGAAGGGACAACTCGTTATAATTGTGGCGAAAGTGCACAACAGGGACGTGCCTTCTCTTTTCATCCAATCAAAAAACGCACTACGACAAAAGAGCAGGCACGCCCCTGTTGTGCACTTTCGCCATAATTATAATTAGTACTATTATCTATGTTCTTTGGTAGAACTCACTCCGAAATTCACAAAAAAGTGCATTCTTCAGACCGAATTTATTAATAAATTAGTGACCTCAAATTATAAAATCAGGTTTTATAATAAAGTGTAAACCCTTGTCTACAAGTGTGTGAACAATTGTTTGGATCGGGTAACCCATTCAGACACAATACCCCGAAATCATTGGACAAATAGCTAAACCGTACCCATTTAAATCGTTATTTGGTTTTCCTCAATCAACAATTGCACCAAGAAGACGTCACGCACACAGCTGATTCTGTCAAGTTCACAGAGAGCGGATTGGAAGTACCGCAATAGGTGCAATCTCTATTTGTCTCAATCGTGGACAGTGTGACAGTTTAGACCCAAGTGGATCAAAAGAGATACATTTTTCGATGAATTTTTGAGGTATACTTTTTTTTTTTAATTTTATACTTTTCGTGTAAAAAACTCCCGTAGAAGTCGAAAAACTGGTCGAGATGTTTACAATTTCTTCGCACATAGTGCTAAAAGGGTGGACGAATTTGCCAAGTTTCAAAATCATAAAACTTACTGTCCCAGTGAAGCGTGTTGCAATTATTTTTCACATCTTGCTTCGATCACTGTGTGAACCAAGCGCCACCTGTTGCTGAAAAAATTGATTCCGCACCAATAAAAATTTATTTTTATAGTTTTGTCAAATATTTTTTTAGGCAGAAATTCCCAAAACAGTTGCTTGCTCTAAATTACTCCATCAAAAAACCTGGTGCAGAAAATCGTGCTCTAAGTTGCTCTAGTTCCACTTAGCGCAGGCTCATAAAACAAAAACTAGAGTGAGTTAGAGCAAGAAAAATCCCATGAAACACAATTTTATGTCATATCTTAACCTGGCGTAACCTAGAGCAGCTCATTAAACACAACATTTATTTCTTTATATTGCTCTCTGTGAGCGTGATTCTTTCAATTTTTACATTCTTCTTTTTCCTGATAATTATCTGCTATAAAAGCAAAGATCGGTCCACATAGAACTTTGGCGTTGGCGTTGCTTAACAGCTGACCATGAATACACACAATTATATGGACATGTCCACATATCAACGGCAACGCCAACGCCAAAGTTAACGCACACAAAAAGATGGCCATCTCTCATCTTTTCGCGCGCCTTGTCAATCAGCTGTTGCAAATAAACAAAATTATGTGAAATATTTTTAATTTTTAATAAAATGTAGGCAAGTAATATCATTTTTCATGCAATTATTGATATGAAATATTAATTTATCTGTCGTTAGTATGTTCATTTAGTGGTCAAAGCATTCGCTGCCGAGCGTTCATTGTAGCAGGCATACTTTTAACGTGCGCTCTGTCAAACCAACGCCAACGCCAAAGCCAACGCGAAAGTTCTATGTGGACCTGCCTTACGGCGCGTTTACACCGGACAATATTGTCAAGGCAATTATGTCAAAACGTGTTTGTTGAAAACACGAGGTATTCATATTACAACAAACACATCATTTTGACATAGTTGTCTTGACAATATTCTGCGGTGTAAACCTTAACTTAAAGAAACAAAGTCCGTCGCCGTACCGACACAAGTCGCTGAGAGCAGGCTTTCGCCAAAGAACGTAAATGTGGTACATACGTCGATTTATGTTCTTTTCCTACGAAGCAAAGAGTGAGCAATACTTTTCCGCAGCGTCTTTCGATTTATTTATGGTTCCGTAAAACCAATTGTTCATCAAATGCGTTTTAGGAATTTCTAACTAGCAATTCTTTCAATATTCTGCAAATATCAACACGTTCGATTTTTCCTTGTTTGAAATGGCAACTCTGCGACCGAACAGATGAATCAAGCAGATACTGACTGAACGAAAGAAAACTCGAGAATGAACCAAATACTTAACGCAATGAACCCGAGCAAACTCAACGAAGTGAACAAATACGCCGCCATTTTCTCTTGTGCATTTCTATGTCAATAGTTTACTAATATCAAAATTTGGTGGGGTTTTGTTGGGGTAAATTGCTCAATTTTCCCATTAAATTAAAAAATTTTTGTTTAAAATAGTGTAAAAAGTATACTGAGATATCAGAAAAATGCTTGTACGCTATTTGAATTATGTAATGACGCATCGAATGGGCCAATAAAGCCATTGAATAAGAGTCGTGTGCGTGAGCGAGCCGAGCTGTGGCCAACGGCAACAGCAGCATCAACATTCGTCCAAATCACAACCTGAAACTGCACCAGCAACATTTGAAGCCGTAAGGAAAATAATCGAATTATTATATTAAACAACTTTATATTGAGGTCCCTACCTCATTGTGCAGCACAAGCTGCCTTATTTATGAGCATTAAAGAGTCCCAGTAAGTCCCCAAGTTAGAACATACCCCGCACTCCGCTTAAAAGAGTTGTTTGTGTTCCTGTGTGTATGTTCAAAGACCGAGGAAGTCTCCTCGAACTTTACTCTTGCGAACTAAGCTCGTTCATACCTGTTCAATGGTAAAATAAGGGTGACGGAGGGGCGCGTATCATACTACTACGAAGACAATAGGAAAATAAACCAACAAAGACAGGAGTTTAAAGTGTGAATCTTTGCGCTGAAACGTGAGTAGATGTGATTTTTGTGTGAAAATTTTAAGGTGGCTGTCCCCAACAGTTCAATAACAAATCTGGTTAATTATTAATGAATTAAAATATGCACAAACATTAAGGATTGGAAATGTGCATTTATAAAAGGCCACGTATCCTTTAATGGCTATTAAATCGCGTACTTATATTACATATTAGAATTGCTATCTTGCATATATGCATAAGCAATGAAAATGCATATCGAATGCAATTAATATAAATACATATATGGAGATAACGAAAAGAAAATCGTTTTTAATCAAAAAGAAACTAATTTGTGTACAAACAGCTATGTATTTTTGTATAGTAATTGTTTATTACTGTGCTTATTTTATTATCATCCATAAAAATGTTGGGGGTGTTTCCTTTAATTATAAAAGCTTCAAAAATTTAATTATTCTTTTGCTGAACTCTAAAATTTTTATGATAAATATTTTCATACTTGAGCCTTCTAACTAAACAATTTAACGGAATGCTCTCAAAGGCATATATAATAATTTGAAAAGTAAAATATATGTAGGTATATTATAATAATACCCTTATACACAAGTAGTTTTGAACATTTGGCTCTAAAATTTAGGGGACATGCCTGCGTTTTCTTTTAAAGACTTGATATTTTTTAATGATTATACATTTTCAGGTAAACTTCTGGAGATTGTGTGTTTTCGGCTTGATTTTAACAAAAAAAAAAATCATTACAACTTCTACATTTGTCACTAGCACTTAAAAAATCGCGATGGCAACCAGTGATGACGAGCCAATGCACCTTTATGAGGTATTCCAGAACTGCTTTAACAAAATCGCCAACAAACAGCCGTCCACTGGTGGCCCCGAACGAAATGGTGGTTATCAATCGCCTTACGGTGGGCTGGGTATGGAAAATGGTATGTACCCCAACGACGACTTCAATCCAATGCACGACACAGCAGGCAGTAGTAATCGATTTAGCGATGGAGGAGCTGTAGTAAATCAGTATTTTGACACTAATCTTGGAAATGGTGGTGGTGTTCCTCCAAGTGGTCCTGCTGGATCCAGCGGTGGTTGGTATTCTTCTCCTGTAGGCGGCTATGGCAATCAAAATTCATATCAAAACAATGGACCACTGGATCCTCATCACTTAGCAGCGCAACAGCATCATAATGCCGATGCACAACACCACGGTATGCCAGGTGGTATGGGTGGGGGACTTCCCATTGATAACGTTGGTATGCACAGTCCAGTGCCTACATCTCTACCGCCAATGAGTTCATTTCGCAGTGGTGCCAATAACTTGCAACAGATAAGTGGGCCAGCGGCCCATTCGCCGGCGACGCTTTACAATTCGCCACAGCACAGCGCTCAACACACATCCCTAGCGACGGCAACAGCTCACGGACATCATCCCCTTTCGCACAATCATCACAATCAGCAACATAGCCCAGCGGTACAGTCCGATGCTTTTAGTGTAGGCGTTGGTGGTCTTGGCGTTCTTGGCCCTAAAGGACCTTCTGCTACGTCTGGAAATACAACTGCCTCCTTGCGACAACACATGTACATGACAGCAGCCGCTGCGGCTGCTGCCGACCAGAGCATTAGCAGTTTTAGTTCAAATCCTTCAACCCCGGTAAACTCCCCACCGCCACTGACACAAAGTGGTTTATCGCAATCCCTAATTGATAAATCAGTTGTTGGTAGTTCTGGAGGTGGAACTCCATGGGGAGCCGTTTTAAATGGTGGTGGTGGTGGTGGTGTGAATTCAGTTAGTGGCGGAGGCATGGGAGTTGGTGTAGGCGGCAGCTACGCCAGTGACGTTGGTCCATCCGGTTTGCACACAATGGCCGCTGTCTTCCAAGGTGCGCGCATGGAAGAACGTCTTGATGACGCGCTTAACGTGTTACGTAATCACTGCGAGCCTGAGCTGCTGGGCGGCGTAGGCGCTGCACTTTCGGCAATGGACCACATGGATGGGCTGTCTAGTTTTGTGCCAACATCTCCGCCATCGCACATGGTCGGCGGTGTGGGCAGCACAAGTGGTGTATCAGCTCTACATTCACCACATGACGTTCTGTCAGGCGCCGGTCCGTCGGTGGATACAGTAGGCGCAGCTAGCGGTAGTGGAATGAATGCCACGCCATCAGCGGTCACACAAATAAAGATGGAACGAACATCTACGGCCACATCCAGCGGCTCTGGAACCACGACGAAGTCATCAAAGAAACGAAAAGAAGCAGCAGCCGCCGCTGCTGCCACAACCGCAATGTCTGCCGCATCGGCTAACTCTGGCGCAGGAGCTTCAACGTCGTCAATGAGTGGTGCTATGGGAGGCGTAGTTGACGGACCTGATACGAAACCAACCAGCTCAATGGAGGCTACTCAACACAACCATCCTGGGGCGTCAGGCAAAGGCTCAAAACGACCGCGTCGATATTGCTCGTCAGCAGACGACGATGACGATGTAGAGCCAGCCGTTAAGGCGATGCGAGAAAAAGAACGACGTCAAGCGAATAATGCGCGGGAACGTATACGCATACGTGACATTAACGAAGCGTTAAAAGAGCTTGGACGGATGTGTATGACACACCTGAAGTCGGATAAACCGCAAACAAAGCTGGGCATCTTAAATATGGCCGTGGAGGTGATAATGACACTGGAACAGCAGGTACGTGAGCGTAATCTAAATCCGAAAGCGGCTTGTCTGAAACGTCGTGAAGAAGAAAAAGCAGAAGATGGGCCAAAACTTGCGGCGCAGCATCATATGTTGCCACAGCCACCAGGCGGTGGTGTTTACGGCCAACCGCCATTGCCACAGGTGTCAATACCACCTGGCGCCGGTCTGCCAGTACCACCGCCACAAGGAAGTGGAGTGCAATTGCCACCACATCTACAACAGCACAATCAGCCGCAACATCCACAACAATAGCAGGCGGCAGCAGCATTAGCAGCGGCTACAGCACTCATGACTGATCCTCCCACTTCCCAACTACCACCCTTCACCACCCAGCAGCAGCAACAGCACCACCAGCAGCAACAGGAGGCCATCAATAACAGCAACACCAATACAACAAACGCCCTCGAATTGGAGCAACAATTATTGAATAACCTTTTCAGGCGAAGACATCCACCGCCACCACACCTACAACACAGCGGAAGCAACACGCATGCGCAATTGCAAATTCAGCATGCACAGCACCAGCTGTAGGTAGACAGGCAGGCGCAACACCGGCAGACAGCAGGCAGGCAGTCGCCTTTTTGCAATTTTCCCGGTGAAGAACAATAGCGAGGGCTGGCTGGCTGTCTTTTGTTGGTAGTTGCTCGCATGAGCGGGCGCACACGCAAACACATAGGTACGCACATGGAAGCGTCACAATTGTATATAATTGATAAATGAGTAAGAAAACTAAGTACATACATACATACATATTATGTATGTACATATACATATGTTTGTCGTACCTTTAATTTTCACTGCGATTATTTGCGTGGCATGCACGGCAATCGCATTTTTTACCGTCTTATACATACTTATTTGTTTTTTATATTAGTGCTCATTTCGTTTATTGCTTTATGATTTATTTAACACACATACATACATATGTACAATGCTATACTGTGTTGAATTGTGTAGGTTTTATCAACAAGCTATTTTTTAACAGTTTTTATTTCATTCTCTACTTGTCGTACAACAACAAATCATGTATATACGACAGCCATATTTTTCTATACCTTTATAAATTAAGTAGCGTAAATGATAAGTAGATTTTGTATCGCTTCGTTTGTCGTTTGTTGACCGTATTTGTGCATATATTTTATCGTAAATCCCATCATTGTCATAATTTCCTTTTTTTTTTTAATATACTTTTAGAATGTTTGTTTTAGATAATAGAAACCAATATTAGATGAGCAAAAAATTATGATGAGACAAAGTTCAATTCCCACAATCCACATCTGCCATTTTATTTTAAAAGCAGTAAAGTTATCAAGAAAACAACAAAAAAATGTTGAAAATCTAATCGCTTGGTGCATATGGTTAACGGGAGGCAATTTTTTATTTTAAAAGAAAACGTTAGTATCAGAAAAATATTTAGATTATGTCACCACCGGCAGGCAAATGCTTACAAAAATGCATTGCATTAATCTCCATTAGGATTTTATGTGAGCTAAGCATTTATATCTGGTAAGCCACTCCAGCAACATTAGCATTTGTTAGTCACCAGAACTCAAGAAGCAGCCAATGATCCAGAGTGAACTCTGCAATGTCGGTATGGTTGGCAACAGCTAACGGATATACGTTTTAAAAATTAGCAAACATGAGTCAAGTTATTAATTGTTGTTTTTGCGCTAATCATAAATAACTAACGGTTGCTCCGGCAACGTAATCTCGAACATCATTAGATCCACTGGCATTACATTTTTTTGTCGAAGTTTTGCAAAGCCTCTTGACGGGAGCCTATGAATTGGCAGTACTACTGCTGCATTCGGTCGACATACCGCACCCTACGATTATCTGCCGATAGAGCTGCCAGTACTGCTGATAACGAAATGACAGAAGTACCATTTTAAAGCTCAGGACACAATCACAAAAGACGCCGATCTTTCTCTAGTTTTTCGTATGTGTTATTATATACATATATATATATACGCATATTCGTTCGGCTTTTGTGAACGTTAAAGACTTCTATATGAGTAGCGGAAATACGGCATAAGCAAACCCAAAGCAATGAAAAATCTGTAAGGATTCGACGAAAAAAGTGGCACCTAGCCGTAAATCTTAAACCTCAAGTGGAGTTTGTCTGTTTGTTGATGAAACCATTTGTGAAACAAATTTCTTATGAAAAGTTGGAATGTTTTAAAATTGAAGAGTTAAAAAATTGAAATTTTTTGGAACTTCTTCTTTGGTGCCAGTCGTTTCTCTTCTGTGCCAACTGACGGCAATTGGAAATGCCAAGTGAAGCCAAGTCCTTCTCCCCTTTCCCTTTCCATCGCAATAGCGGCCTCCCTCTTCCTCTGCTGCCACCAGCGGGTTCCGAGTTAAATACTTTCAGAGTTGCAGCGTCGGTGTTCATTCGAACGACAGGACCAAGCCAGCGGAGCCACTGTATTTTAACTCGCTGCACTATGTCCATATCATTGTAAAGCCTCATACAGCTCATCGTTCTATTGTCTTTTCGGAACGAAACAAATTTAGTTATCTATATAGACATTGTGTTCATCCTTACATGCAGACGAGTGCTCAGTCTTTCATACTATAGAAATGTGGCCTGCCTGTCTGCCTAAGCAGTCACCGAGCGATAAGTTGCGTTAAAAAAAAACAATGTACTAGAACTGTTTTGTAATATAAAAAAAAAAAACGATAATAAAAAATGGCGCGAATGAAGCGAATAAGGCATGGATATGGGCTTAAATAAAAATAAAAACAAATTAAAAAACACACACACAAAATGAAGTAATACATATTTACATAGATTAATAAAACTTAATTATTAGCTGCATATACATATACATACATAGGTACATAAATGCATACATATGTTATAATTACGATAAATAAATATATATAAAATAATACATATATATAAAATGGTTTAAATTTAATGATATAGCCTATAAGCCCGCAAAACAAATGATAACAAAAAAAAAAGTTGAATGTTTAACGAAAAGCGATATATAGAACTGCAAGTGTAACTAAGTATTGTATCGAAAAGAAATTGTTGAAAGTATCAAGTGCAGGATAGTAAGACTATGAAGGATTAAAAGCAAAAAAAAAAAAACTAATAATATTTTAGCAAGCAAGGGGAGTAATATTTGAAATGCCAAAACGTTAAGTGCTCGTCGCGGTGAAGTGTATGTAGCTACTTTGTTCATGTAACGTTGCAGTAGATCGTCACACCAGCGTTGAAAATCTGAGATACTTGCTGTGGCGTTTTTTGCGTTTGCCGATACTCGTAAAACATACTAAAAGGGTAAGGGCTCAATCAATTACATTGCATAAATATGCTTACACGATTGTGTATTTATATGTATGCAATGTTGACAGATTGTTTTTTCGAAAAACTGCAAATTTCCAAAAAAACTGCAAAATTTCCAAAAAACTACCTTTTTTCAACTAAAAACTAGCTACAAAAAAGGGATTTTCGGAAAATTACAGTTTTTAACTGTGTTCTTTTTTTTTTAAATAGAAAACGCTGCCCCTCCATCGTGCTTTTTATATTAAAAATTTACTTTCGAGAAAGAGATATTTTAATTTATTCGTTGAAGTCGGAAATTTTGAAAAAAATGTAATTTGTACTAGACGGAAATTTAAAAAAACTGTAGCCTTGTCTAAAAACCAGTATCTACAGTAAATACTGTCAATGTTGCAACACTGTATGTATGTAACACCTTCTGTTTAAATTTAAACTCACAGGACTGTTGCATACAACTATAACTTCACCGCAATGATACACTTACGCATTCCACTGAATGGCGTTTGAAAATTGTTTAATTGTATTTTTTTTTAAGGCGCTTAGTGTTTGCTCAAATAAAACAAGATTTTTAACAAAAAAATGTTTTATAATGGCAAATAAAGCTAATTAAATGTGATGGTTCAAAAATTTCTCTATTGCATACCACCTTAGACACACACATGTAAGCCACAAGAAAATGCTGTAAAAAATAATTTTCGAACCTCATTCAACTGCAAAATACCTACATAAAAAAATGAAAGTTAAGATTGCAGCTCCAGTAACAAGTTGGCCAAATTTAAAAGTAAAAAAAAACAAACAGAATTTTAAATCGCAAGCAATTGTTAGCGTTCAAACTACTGGCCCTTTATGCTCATTGCCTCTCTTAATTCCGCATAAACCGCAAAAAAATAAGCTGCGCGCAACTGCAAAGCATGCAAAACGCTAGTTTATAGTTTTCTGGTAAATACAAATTATTTTTTTGTTAAATTATTATTTTTAATTCCTTTGTTAAAATTTTTAGTACGCTAATTTTATTGCCAAAATCATTATCCGTTTCTTTGTAAGCGTTTGCCCTCCTGCCTTTATGCGCCAACAGGTGCTATGCCTAGCAAGTGGTGTAGAAAACGAAACACTTATGCCAGTACATCATTCAGTTACAAAAACAAAAATAGTTAAACTCAAAATACATAAGTTTCATTAGTACTAGTTACAATCAATCGCCTTTAAGTTAATATTCTATATAAAACATAGTTAATTTTTGTTATACGTATGTATTTTGATTATGCTTTTTTATATGTATTTTTTTTTTGTATGGTACTTTCTTGTTTAAATAATGGCAAACAAATGTCATGCAAAAGTATTTACTTAATCGATTAAAATAATCTAAGTTTTATAATAAATTTAATTAGTTTCGAAACAGTTTAAAATTTTAGTGTAGCTACATACATACATAAAAATGTAGTATTTTAAACGAGAAGTGCATCCAGCTGTTTACCTACATAATACGCATAATGTTTGTATTTAGTATATATACATATGTAAGTATGTATGCATCTATTATAAATTTTATTTTTTATATACTACATACATTGGTGGTCACGCATAACACCACAATTTTTTTTTTGATGAAGCAGGATTTTGTACATTAATATATATTTTTTTTTTAAATATAATTCACACTGGAATAAAAACTCCAAAAATGAAATTTTCAAACTATGTACAATCTTTTGAAAAAATAATCAAAATGTATAATTTTTTAATCAAATTTTTTTTTGAAAGTTGTATGTCGTATAATAATTTACAAGTTTTAAGTAGCCGTAAATTCCCGTTGATTTAAAAAATTGAGCAGTTTTTTTCCATGCTTTTTATATGAGGGAAAATGCGCAACATCGTACGAGAAAAAAATTTCAAAAAACGACCATATTTTTGAGCTACTTTGAGCTGCACTCTATGATACTAAAATTAATTATGTAAAAAGTTTGAAATTTTTATGTATTT